GGTGTTCTAGGGGTCTTAGAAGCCCTAACCAACTTGGTCACTGATGAGAAATACTAATGTACTCCAACAATTTCTGGAGAGGCACATGATTACAACCTATAAACTAGACAATGACCAACTATTTCCCCACATCCAGACAGAGACATTTAATTATCCAACCTGTGTGATTGAGTAAAATTATAACTAGGACTGAGACTAGAATTCTATATAACTATCCATCAGGAGTATGTGTGTGTGTGTTTATACCAAATATATACAAAAATGCTCATACAAAGACATATACACTTTCTTGTTGTTGGTTTCTCACAATAAGAAAGAAAAAGATAGCATTGTTTTTGAAATGAGATACATTTGAAGAGTTATTTGGAGGAACACATTTGCAAAATAATTGTACTGATTAAGAAAAAAAAAATGTTTCCATACACATTTACTGCAGTGCTGGCTCACACATATATATGGGTTGGTTTAGGTATACATATTCTTCACTTGATAACCACAACTAAATAATGACTTGTGAATCATCTATCATAATACTATTTATTTATTTGCTTTATAAAGTCACCACCACTCAACACTCAAACAGCTTTTTTGATCAGTTTTATGCATTCCTTTCTCCAACTCACAATTACCAAATACAAAATGATCATGTTTGGTAACTAGTATACATATATGTGTAAAGTAACCATGAAACATTAGTATGATACCATCGTCCAAGCACCTTACCAGATGGTACTTGAAACCCTTCTAGAGTGCCTATGTGTATAATGAGACTCCATCTTGTTACAGTGTTATTCTAGAGCAGGGGTCAGCAACCTACGGCCCGCGGGCTGGGTGCAGCCCACAGAGGCCTTCAGACCAGCCCCTGCCCAGTCCTGCTGCCACCGCCGCCGCCGCCGATGCCACCGCACCACTGCTGCCTTTCGTGGCCATGGGGGTTCTTTGGGATGCCATTTTGAAATCCAAAATGGCACCCCAGAGGACCCCCGTGGTGGTGGCGGGCCTCTCGGAGGCCCAGCATGGTTGAGGGAGCCCTCCTGGGGGCCCCCATGGCAGTACAGGCCTCTCAGAGGCCTGGCGCTGCTCAGGGAAGCCTCCTGGGAGGCCCCCGTGGCCGTGCTGGGCCTCTCAGAGGCCTGGCGTGGCCGAGGGAGCCCTCCTGGGGGCAGCCGCCATCATCCGCATGTGTGCACGACGCAGGGGGGTGGCTGCCATTTTGTTTTTCAAAATGGTGGCACGCGTGCGCATGCGAGCACACCAGCCCCCAGCGCCATTTCCCCCCCGACCCATTGGCAAAAAAAGTTGCCGACCCCTATTCTAGGGTAACAAGAACATTTCAAGATTCCTTTACTGGTACACAATAGTACAGGTATATCCTAAGGGTAATACACATATGCTAAACCTATGACAGTGCATAATAATTTGCCAACACAAGTAAGTACTTTTTTATAGAGAGAATGGAATTTTAATATTAATGTTTACTTTCACAGTCCAGTGGCCCCACTTTTCACTTTGTACTGCAAACTTAAAAGAATAGCCACTGTCTCGGATTCACTTTTAACATAGTGAGCATCTTGCTATAAAAATGACATAAGCAAAATATAAAGATTATCTGTATATTACTTTTTTTTGCTGGAAACATTTAGTCTGAATGAAGGTTTACATTTGAATGTTTATAGCTTTTCAAACATTATTATGCACTTGCAAATATTAATTCACTTTCAATGAAAGAGTCAATTTTTTTTTTTACAATATAGAATGAATTTTAATACACTATTATGTACAACAGGCTGACAGTGAATGGACTCATAATTGATTTAGAAGCACATTCTATTGTCCTTCTCCCTCTGTCTCTTTAGTAAATCATTTTTTAATCGGAGTAGCCTAGGTTGACCCACATGGAGCTTTATTTAATTTATTACAGAATTTATACATAAGGTTGACTGGTAATGCGTGGCTGAATCAGCTTTAAACAACTGGAAGAGTAGATAGGGGAGAAAGGGAGAAAGGATGGGAATTCAAATTGTCTGAGCATACTGAGGTTAGGACAGGTCCTAAATGAACAGTGTTATTCAAATTCTTTGGAAAGGGATGGGAGAGGAAAGGGCCTTGACACCATTAAATGCCAATGAAAGTGATGATATAGAAGTAATTAATAATGGGAAAATCCCGGATGCATTAGTTGGCTCTCTTTCACCCTAATGGGAATAAAGCGTACAATGTACAAGGGGGTCAACCAAGAGGGCCCCCTGCTTTGGGACATGAATTGGTAAGAACTATCCTGAAAACACCAGCAAGGCTTATATTCTTCTACACAGGAAGAAATAAAGACTCTCCTTTGATCATAACACAAGCCTGCTTTTCTGTTTGCTTTCCTATTTATAAACAGAAGGAAAGAAGCTGCACAGAATTATGTTTTTTTAAAAGAATTTGTTTTGTTTTTTTTTTAAAAAAAGCCACGTGTATATATGTTCACAGAGAAACATACGCAGATTGTATGATAAATGATGCAATGACAACCTCTCACCTACAGGACACAGATTTGATTCTCTATGTTCAGGTTATCAGCAGGTCATTGCCATTCAGAGGTAGTTTAGCAGTAGATATGAAACAAGCAATGCTGGGTCCCCATCGTAAATTGGCAGCCTCAATGGCAGTCTAAAGCAAAAGGGTCAAGGATTGAATGGGCATGAAAATGCATCTCATAGAGGTGATACCTCTAGGTCAGAGTTCAGAGGCATACACCAGGAAAGCATGTCCTGCAGCTGCCTGTGCTGGGTCATTTTTGCTGATAAATACAGGAATCCATCTTCGGTTGCTGTCACAATCCAGCACTTTTCACAAAGATTAAATGCCCATTAAAAATATGTTCATCTACAAAAGGACAAGCTCCTACCTTTCAAATCACATTTGTCATTACAGTGACATTTTGTATTCTAAAGTTTTAAGGGGAAATTGAAGCAGAAAACTATTATTATAGAGACAGATTACTAAAACTTTTGAATATAATGATTGTTCATATCTTCCCTAAATCCTATTGCATAATTAGTTGTTGGAAGAAAAAGTTGTTCTAGTACTCTGTGATTTGCAGTGGTAAATGTGACTGAACATGGACTGATAAAAGAGAAATCTTCACCACTGTTCCAAAATCTCTCCCTCTCCCTCTCCTGTCCTCACATTGAGGAAAACAAAAGCTAAATGTACAATTCACAGTTAATCAGTTCTCAGATTCTTAATACTAAATGTTCAGAACGTTCATGTAAAATCAGTACAAACTAAATAGTACTCAAACAAATACAGAGCTTTGATGAAAATACAGTGGTATCTGCTGGAGTTTGGTTCTAGGATCCCCCCATGAATATCAAAATCCATAGATGCTCATCCCATTATACACAGTGGCACAGTAAAATGGTGCACTTTATATAAAATAGCAAAACCAAAAACCTTCCACTGAATTGTGCAACCAATTGTGATAACTGCCCATGTGCCTGCCTACTGTCTCAGTTATGTGCCTGTTATGTAGTGGGAAATGCACAGTGGCCATTTCTGCAGTCCCAATGAATAAAGTAGCACAATGTAGATACTGATAAATATTCTGCCTGTAGTGAGAGTCCTTATACATTGTTCAATTTCAGGGATTCACAGGATGGGAATGTGAGAAACTGCAAGTTGGTTTGTGTTTAAGGAGGCATTTCCATTATTTGATTATTCATGGTTTTGTGAATAATTCCCATTTTTAGGAATTCTGAGCCAAAGCTTTTCTGTAATCTGGGTATTGGATGAACTGTTTATCTCCCATATAAGATCTCCTTCACATATGGTTGTACTGTTTCAACTGTTGTGCAACAAATTTTATTCAATACAAAAGTGCATAAACCAAGTTTCATAAGTGTAACCATTTCACATAGGCATGAATCTTAGGCTGTATCTACACTGCAGAATTAATGCAGATTGGCATAGTTCAGTGCTATGGAATTCTGGGCTCTGTATTTTGTGAGATTGTTAGACTTCTCTGTTAGAGCTCTGGTGCCAAAACAGAGTACAAATCCCAGGATTCCAAAGCATGGAGCCATGGTAGTTGAAGTGGTGTTAAACTGAATTAATTCTGCAGTGTAGCAGCAGTCTTATTGTTTGTTTCAAGTAAAATAGGGATGGTAGAATTTTTTAAATCTTTTTTCTCCCTTTATTCTCAATGAAAAGTGGGTTTCCTGACTATTCAATTCAGATTCTCTGCCAAGAAAACTGACACATGTGACTGGGGGGGGCAGTTTCATTAAATGATTCTTCAAGGTTGGCTCAACGTTATGCAAGCACACCCCAAAGTTACAGATTTTATCCCTACTGGACCCAGACGGCACCCTGCCATACCCAGAGCCAGTGTCCTTGGACTCTTGGAGAGGACTTCCAGAGCAGCAGCAGGAAGAGAATGACAGGCAGGCAGGCATTGTTTCCAACTTTGAGCTTCTCTCTCTGCTACTGCTTGGATTAGCTCATTACTGCCTAAATCAGTGCAGTGGAAACAGCAGGGTGTGGGTGTATGAATGGCTCAGCTCCCACTCCACTGAAGCACCCATCGCACTGCCTTGCCAGGTGTACATGAATTTTGCTACTCTTCTTTTTAGAGAGAGACAGACAAGAAAAACAGACAAGAGAAAGGCAATACAGTGGGTCCATGGTATCTGCTGGGATACCATGGATACTCAAGTTTATTAAGTACAAGTTTATTAAGTACAATGGCATAGTAAAATTGTATCTCTTATATAACAACACAAAATCAAAGGTTGCTTTTTTGGAATTTATATAGTTTTGGAATATTCTTCATCCATGGATGGTTAAATCCATGGATTAAAAAAATCATGGATATAGAAGGCTGGCTGTACTGTGTGTGTGTATATATATATATATATATATATATTGCCCCAACAGTGAAAATCTAGTAAAGCTGATGAACATATACATACAACTTTAATTCCTTAACTTTAATTTGTTGAACTATGTAGAGAGTTGGTGTGGTGTAATGGTTTGAGCATTGGACTACAACTCTGGAGATCAGAGTTCAATTCTCTGCTCAGCCATGGAAACCATCTGGGTGATCTTGGACAAGTCACACATTTTCAACCCCAGAGAACCCCATGATAGGTTCATTTTAGGTTTGTCATGTGTGAGAAATGACTCGAAGGCACACAAAAAAACTCCCCATAACAATGAACTGTATGGAATGGAACACATGGGTCTACTTAGACAGACATGTTATGGATTCACACACACACACAAAAGCCCTAGTGGTAAATGAGAATAGAAAAGAACTGATGAGAGACTACACCCACGGCAGGGGTTGTTTTGTTTTATTTTGTTTTTCTAAGGAAACAATCAACCTTATACTACAAGGGAAAGATAAGGATATTGTGAAAGGCAGTCATGGAATCTTATAATGAAATATCGAGTTAGAAATTAAAAGGCACTTGCTCTGTTGCATTTAGGAAAATAGTAGTCTAGCATTTGAGACAGGACAGAGAATTTGAGACATTGTGCAGAGGCAGAGGAGACTTAAATACATTAGGAGGAAGGAAGAGGAACCTTTATAGTTCCTGGGATTTATGGGAAAAAATAGTAAACATTTTCTTCCATCATTTTGATCTCAGGCTTATCAGAAAAAGGAAATAGGAATGTCCAACTCTCTTCCCATTTAAAATTCTTTAAATTTTAAAATCTCGATGTATCTCTTGCATCATGGTTCTTATGAAACTGGATACCCTGAAATGTTGGAATATTAGTAAAATGAATGACAGCATTTAGTTCATCAGATTGGATATAGACTACTAGGTATGTGTCCAGTGACATTTAAAGCAAGTTGTAAAAACCATTTAGAGAACATTAAATACTTGAGTACTGGTTTCTTTATTTGCATAATATGCCTATACACCAAAGATTGTATTTAAAGGAAGGTAAAAAAAGTCAGAAAGGCCATTAATACTGACAAGATTTGAGTATATTAAGTAAACAAAAGTAGCCCACACATATCTAAATAGGAATATTTGCTTTTGTGGATCTCCAGTTTTAAGGCTAAATCCAATTAATAACAACTACAGTAGATCTATAGAATCAATAGTATTCACAGGAGTATTGACTTTCTATTTCCTATTTATTCAGCACGTCTACTCTAGTTGGAGCTAACAACAGGATTTAGGTCATCCACAGAACATGGGCTTTTAAGGTTATGGAGGACAGATTAAATTACTTTCTTAGTAAATCCACAGTTTATCTGTACAAATTTGTCCTATCAATCTTATGGGAAGCCTGCTCTCAAGCAAGGAAGTTAACAAGAAGAATGTGAAGGGAAGATGGCAGTTGCCAGCAAAATTAGCCATAGTAACACTAGGAAAAAGAGAGACGAAAGCAGAGCCTGTGCTGACATCAAGTCTTCTGGTATACTCAGCCACAAGAATTTAGCAGCAATGTGTCATTGCCACTTTAAATTTTCCTTTTTTCCTCTATTTAAGTATCACATTTAAGAAGGAAAGGAAAGTGCACGAGAGGCAGGGAGGGAAATAGCAAAGCATGTATAGTTGTTGGGAAGAACTGGCAACAGATCAAATACATCAGAAATACTATGTTGAACATTAGAAGAATATTTACTGTTCATGTGATCATGTACCTTAGATATGTATAACAAAATGCTTCTGTTTAAACAATGTTCTATTATACTGTTAATAAAGCTCTGGAGAGTGACTGAAAGTTATGTAATGATTTGTTTTTTAAGAAAAGATGAATAGGTAGTGTGGGTGTACAAATCCAAAAATTAATTAATGTCTTAATGGAGGAACAGATATTAATCTTTCTTTATTAAGCACACTAAAATGAACAAGTCTACACTAGAAAATGTATTCAGTCATTATTTGATTTCAGAAAAGTTATTCCAAGATATTAGTCTTCCAGGAGTTATTATAGATAGGGAGAAAATTTATTTTGAAAATCACCTTGACTTTTAATTTTAATTATAAACCATGCTAGACTAAAATTATTCAAAATTATTTCAAGTTACTTTATTAAACATTAAAGTGAATTTAAAACTCACTCAAATATACCTTATATAATACCTGTTTCAATATTATTCACTATCACAATTCTCCAGAATCCTTGGGATACGTCAATGTGCACATGATGGACTAGAAGAATCCACCAATAGTCTATATTATGCAACATAAACCTTAGGAATAACTGTAGGTACAAATAAACACCAAAATATTAAGTGAGTCAAAAATGGTGTTAGAAGAATTGCATATCTGCAGAACAAGGGCATGATTATTTAATCATTTTGTTTTTGAAATAAGTAATTAGTACTTTTAATAATTTTCATCCCAGTATGAGAAAGTATATAAAAGCTTCAAAACTTTCTAAAACTCTTCACAGTTCAGGATTGATTCTGTGCAGAATTCAGTTTGTTTTTGTTTTTCAAAGAAAAGATTATTTTCTACAGATATCATTCTCTGCAAAGAAAATGTTTTCTTTGCACAAAAAAAAAACAAAAAAACACCATGTGCAAATTTTGTACAGAATAAGTCCTGAACTACAAAGATTCTTGGCAGTCCAGGATTCTCCTTGGAAAATAGTTGATACAACAATAGTCAATCATTTCCAAAGAAAGTAATATTCTATTTAAAGGTTATTTCACACCCAGGCTTTTTAAACCCCCAAACAGTCCTTATCATCATTTGCCAAGGCCTGCCAAGGTCCAGCAGTCAAAATAAGTTCAATGTAGTCCTCTGCTTTTATCCGCAACCATATTAAACAGAGATACCAAACTGGAATAAAATTTCATATCAGTAATTGAATTATTATTATTATCATTATTATTATTATTATTATTATTATAAAAGAGGATTTGTGATATACCTTCCATTTTCACAGAGGTTAGGGATGCAAAAACCCCACAAAAGTGGAAAAATGTGAATTGCATGTCCAGTGGCACTCCAGGCCTGGTGTCATTCAGTGTGAATGGCAATGCCAGGGACCTCCCCACTTGCTCAGTTATCTCCCTGCTTAGGGCTGCCTGACGGTGACTGGGCAAGTGAGGCAATGGAAGAGAGGAAAAGGAGTGTTCCAGCACACCTATCCCAGTTGCTCCCCCTGGGGGAAAAGCCAGTGACAGAGGAGGAGGGGTGTATGTGTGGAGGGAGCTACTGTGGGGAGGAGAGCACAGTTGCCCTTCAGACACTGACAAACTCACAGATAATCAAATCCATGAATGTTAAACCCATGAATGTGGAGGTCCAACTGTATATATAAGCAAAAATACATCAAAAAAAGAAATCTTTAAAGATGCAGATCAATCTTATATTGGCTTAGAAATTAAACTGCAAGACACTAAGTTTCTGATAGTTGAAATCTACAACCCATTTGAGAGTAAAATTATTTAAGAGACTTAAGAATGACATTTTGAACTATGGGCAAGAAAACATATTAATATTGGGAGACTGGAATGGAGTAATTATCCCTTTATTAGGCAGAACTTCACCAAAGATCAAGAAAAATCAGAATAAACTTCCTAACCATTCTTTGGAACTTATGGAAAATCTGGCTTTAATGGGTATACAGAAGTTCAACTATAGCAAAACAAAAGGCTTTATATTTTATTTGGACATGCATAAACCAATGTCCAGAATCAACATGTTTGCAGTATCCAAAACACCTGAGTAAAAAATAAAAAGTTTGGCAATTCTCTCTAAAATTTCAGATCATACTCCAATTTTACTAATCTTAAACATCAAAAAGAAATAATTCAGTTGGAGATTTAATGGAAGCCTGCTTAAAAATTAACATTTTTTCAAAAAGCAAGAGAAGTCATTAAATTATACTTTAAAGAAAATATGATGAGGGTTGTACTGAGAATATCATCTGAATTGGCAAGCCTTGTAGTTGTGGTTGTTTCCTATGCAGTTAACAACTGTAATAATGTAAATCAAATAATCAGTCTCTAAAAAAGAAAAGGTATCTTGCTACATATACTTTCTCAACACATGAAGGACCAGGAGGAACAATATGACCTTGCACATGGAGCTAAATATATTGCTTTATACCCATTTTGTGTCTGTTTTGTCACGTTATATTTCCCATTAAGAAGGCCAGTACCAAATTGATGTTTTTAACAAGCGTCCTTGAAAGTCTTTTGTAAGTTTTTCAGGCTGTGTGGCCATGTTCTATAAGAGTTTTTTTCTGACGTTTCACCAGCATCTGTAGACCAGGCAAAACCCATCTGTGAACCCCAATTCTTGGAAGTGGAATTGAAGCTCTACAGGCAAATGGTTACTCAAGCTCAGACATCAGAAGGGCTGCCAGACCCAGGAAAACCCAGAGGAGTGAAGACGAGCAACCACCCAAAGGGAAGGTATTTTTTACCATATATCAAAAGCAATGGCAAACCCTTTCTGACCAAACCTTGCCAAGGAAACCCCAGGATAGGTTCATCTTTGAGTTTCCAGAAGTCAGAAATGACTTTAAGGCACACAACAACCACAACCATAACCACATTCTTTGGAAGTCACACTCTCTCAGAGTCAGGGGAAAACAATGGCAAATCCTTTCTGAACAAACCTTGCCAAGGAAACCCCAGTATAGGTTGGTCTTTGAGTTGCCAGAAGTCAAAAACGACTTGAAGGCACACAACAATAACAACAGCAACAACATTATCCTCCCCCTCACCCCAAGGCTCCAGGAGAGAAGGAGAGAGCCCAGCCAAGCCTCCCCCCAGAGATGCTTCATCTGCCATCATCAGGAAGAAGAAGAGGAAGGCTGGCAAGTGCCAGGGCCTCAGCGCGCAGGGGGAGGACTCCTTGGGAGAGGAAAATAGGAGGAGGAGGAGGAGGAGGGCATTCCCTCCCTGCAAGGGGGCTTCCCTGACCCTCTCTCTTCCTCTTCCTACTCCTCCTCTTTTCCTCTCCCAAGGAGTCCAGTTCAGATAGAAGTTAAGTAAATCTAGAAAAGCTTTCTTTAGAAACTATGGCCAATTTAATGGGGTGATCTGCTTCAGTACTTATGAATGTCATGAATTCTAATTTGAAAGCAAGTTCAACTTTAT